TTGGGCGCCTTGGGGTGACGCTTCAGGACGGGGACGGCGAGCTCGGTACCGACGTAGTTGTCGTTTTTCGGGCCCATGACAGCAATCGCGAGCTGACCCGTGGCTCGCTTGCCCTGCTCGAGGTGGTGTTGCAGCAGCCGTTCACCACTCTCGTAGTCGTGGAGGCTGATGCTGGGCTTGTACGTCTTGCCGTCGTCAGGTGAGGTGGGTTCGGCAAGGACAGGGACCTTCCAAAAGGCAGGGTCCAAGGCGATGAATTGGGTGTCCGCAGCCTGAAGACGTGCGGAACCCGCTGGTGGGTGTGATGTGTCACCGCCAGTGCGCTTAGGCTTGCTGCGCTGGTGATGATCGAGCGTGTAGCTAATCTGGTTGGCGGCGCATATGCGGATCAGGGCGCTGCCAAGCTTCTTCATGTTGGACTTGTGCATGTCGTACGTTGCCTGGAGCTCGTCCGCGTTCAGTTCGGCAAGCCCGTTGTAGGCGGCCGTGGGGCGGTCAGACCCCGCTTGCTTGAACGCTGCGATGCAGTCCTGCTTGCGTTGAAGGAGAGACCCTTCAGCAGCAGGGCGCGTGGGACGGGAACTCGGAGGCTGCTTAGAAGAGCGACGGCGCTCCGGCTTCTTGGGGGCCATTGCTGCGGGCACTCTGGTGTGGAGAGGTGACGCGAATCAGTAGGGTCCTGCTGGGACCCCTCCGGTCTCGCGAGGCCTGGGAGTCTGACTCCGAGGCGGGGCGCTTCGCGTCGCGGCTGCGGTCTGAGTGCAGGGCACTCTCGAGCCGAGACTAGAGAGAGAGAGAGAGAGAGATAGATAGAGAGAGAGAGAGAGAGAGAGAGAGAGAGAGAGAGAGAGAGAGAGAGAGAGAGAGAGAGAGAGAGAGAGAGAGAGAGAGAGAGAGATAGAGAGAGAGAGAGAGAGAGAGAGAGAGAGAGAGAGAGAAGAGAAAGAGAAGAGAGAAAGAGAAAGAGAAAGAGAGAGAGAGAGAGAGAGAGAGAGAGAGAGAGAGAGGGAGAGAGAGAGAGAGAGAGAGAGAGAGAGAGAGCATACAACAATCGCGCGCAGTCTTACCCGCCTGTGGCCGACTAACACGGCGAGCCTCAGATTTACGGGCGGCTGGCGCGCTGAAAGATCAATCGCGCCCTCGCGACCTCGAACGACCTTGCTGAACGTCGGGCCAGAGTAGAGACGAACGCGGGGGAGGGCGAGGGCGATCGCGGCAATGGGGGGTGGGCGGAGAGAGATCAACGAGCGAGAAAACCGCGGGCGATGGGGTCACCTGCACCCCTGTGGCGCCATTCCTCGGGCTCGCCGTGCGTCCTCTGGGGCTCTGGCGCCGACGGCGGAGGCGGGGGGCGGGGGGGGGGGGGGGGGGCGCGGCGCGTCCGTGGGCCCTGGAGGACGAGCTAGTCCTAGGATGGAGAGGCGTCGGCTCTTTCACCCGCCAGCTCAACGAGTCTGCGCCAGCTGGGCCTCCACTCCAGGTCGAGTCTCCAAGGCGCCCCGCACGCGATCGGAAAGCGAGAGTGCCAGACTCGCGTTCTCCGCCCATGATGTTAAATCCCCGACTAACAGACCGTGCTCCATATGGTGTTATGATCCGAAGCCGGCTAGACTGGGGGATTCCCGATTCGGGTAAGGTAAAAAGCAATGGTGACATACGCGTGTGACGCGGTGGCACGAGCGCAAAGCGCGCGGGTGAGCCCAGCGAAGTCCGCGACACGCAACTGTGACATGCGCGCAACGCAGAAATACGGGCACGCAGCAAATGCGGAAACACGTACGAACGCACATTCAACGCACAATAAGTATGCGCCAAATACTATGAACAAGCATGATGCGAATGCAACGCCGAAGCGTGAACAAATCTGACAAACGTATCTCTCTCACTTGCCTCGCATTTCGGATTTCTGACCTTCTGAACTTCGCGCTTTTGCGCGGTGCATCTCTCGGGCTCGCGCTTCGGCGCGGTGCTTTCGTCGTTGAAATTAAGGTGCTTCGCGTTCCTGGTGTAGCTGGCCAGAATCTCTCGGCCACGGGGCGGCTGCGGGGCCTGGGGGGCTGACGAGACATTTCACCCCGAATAGTTCTGAAACCAGAGCACTCTACATCGTGATTGCGCGCGTTCCGATGCCGCCGGCAAGACTTCGACGCGGAGTTCCAAGCCGCGGCAAGAAGAACGCCCCCAGGGAAAATTCCCTGCGCCTGGGCAAAGATATCAGGGGCAGTGGGGGCGAGGGCGGCGACTCTAACTTGAAGCGCATTTGGGGGGGGGGGGGGGGGGGGGGGGGCGAGGGCCGCGCGGGAGATGGCGGGTCGTTGGGCGAGCTCATCTATAGCTGCTCGGTCCCTGTGGGTCTCCCGCAGCGCGATGATCGAGTGCGAGGTGCCTGTGTGCGCGTTAGCCAACTGCGAGAGCATCTGAATCTTCTTGGCCAGGTCGATGCCGCGATGACGACAGAGGCGTCTCGCGTTCCACCTGAAGAAGACCACGGACTTGCCGCGTAAGAGCCTGTTGCCCACTCCGCGATATTGACGTTCTTGAGAAGATGCAACCCGCCGCCGCGGCAACTCTAGCACGCTCGATCCGCGTGCCCGCAAGACTCGCCAGGTGCCGACGCGCGCGGACGGGGTCGAGCGGATGCACCTCCACTTTCGCGATGGGCTGCCACTTGAGAAGCAGCGTGCCTGCCTCGCGGTCGACAAACGCATCCGTGCCCAAAGCCTGCGCTGGGCCAGCTCTGAGCTGCTTGCGCGCGCGCTGGCGCGCGATGTCCTTCTTATTTAAATCAAGCCCCGCGAAGATCTCCGCCGCTCTGTCGCCAGGCGCGGTAGTCCTGAAACGCCTCCAGGCCCCAAGTCTGTCGCGAAGGAGGGGCGAGCGTGCGCAGCGAGAGCTTCAACTGTGAGCCTGGTCTCTCCATCCGTCGCCGAGGGGATAACTATTTGCATGCTTAAAGCCATGGTCCCAAGGCGCCGGTGAGGGCAGAGACAGGGATGGGCGCCTTCGAAATGATAAAGACTGAGATGTCCAATGGTCTGTCCAAATTTCCATGTTCGCAACAGGAATCTTGGGATTTGCGCGGGCAGGATTCAATGCCCGTTCCAGTCTTTCAATGGGAGCAAGCAAGGTCGCACTCGCACTCGCCAACTTATCAATTCGGGGCTCGTTAGCAACCACTTGCGCCATGATGTTGTCGAACGATGCCTTCATGCTTGATTCCAGACGAGCGGGAATCGGATCCGCGGTGGGCTTGATGGCTGCTGGGTCTTCTGGACGGTTTCCGACACACCTTGTCCGATATCATGCGCACACGATGTGTTGAATGCTGTGAATTCTTCTGCTTGAACTTCACGTACTAACTGGGCAATCGATGAGCGCATCCCTGGGTCCTCTCCATTGGCTTGGCGGAACATGCTTCGATCGGACGCACCAGCGGCAGGAAACATGGGCCAAGGGAGATGCTGCGTCGCAGGTCGGGCCAGGTTCGACTGCTGAGGCTGTGCATCATGATGGCCTCGGCCGACCTCACAGGCGGCCCCAGCATCGAATCGATAAGCCGGATCGGGTCGACCGGAGCATCGAATCGGCAGAAGTCGGCAAAAGACGGCAGCCAAATCGAAATCGGCTGAAGTCGGCACGGCCAAACCGGATCGAGTCGGAAACCGGACCGCGTCAAGCCGGATCGGAATCGAAATCGGAAACCCCCCCTGGGGGGGGTTTGGGTTTTTTGAAACCCCCCCTGGGGGGGGTTTGGGTTTTTTGAAACCCTCCCTGGGGGGGGGTTGGGTTTTTGGAAACCCCCCCTGGGGGGGGGTTGAGGTTCCGGGTTTTTTTTGAACCCCCCCCTGGGGGGGGGTTGGTTTTTTGGAAACCCCCCCTGGGGGGGGTTTGAGGTTCCGGGTTTTTTTTGAAACCACCCCTGGGGGGGGTTTGGGTTTTTGGAAACCCCCCCTGGGGGGGGTTTGGGGTTCCGGGTTTTCTTGGAAACCCCCCCTGGGGGGGGTTTGGTTTTTTGGAAACCCCCCCTGGGGGGGGTTCCGGGTGGTTTTTTTTTTTGGAAACCCCCCCTGGGGGGGGTTTGGGTTTTTGGAAACCCCCCCTGGGGGGGGGGGGGGGGGGGGGGGAAACCCCCCGTGGGGGGGGTTTGGACTCCCCCCTTGGGGGCCAGAGCCGGAGCGAAGCCGGATCGGCAAAAGCCGGCAAAAGCCGGATGACGCATCGAATCGGCAGAAGCCGGATCGGGCGAACTCGAAATCGGAATCGCGAATCGGAATCCCGGAATCGAGTCGGTTCGAAATCGGAATCGCGGAAATCGATTCGATTCGAACCGGCGGAATCGGAATGACCCCTGCCTCACATGCCGCGGCATCAGGGGTCGATGCGCCATGGATTTCATCGTCTGGGAAGGTGCTGTTGAGGTCCGGCTGCACGGGTAGGCTTCCGTCGACTCTGCCTTTGCTAGAAACAGGATCCACCACATTAGGAGGACGAGGGCGCCAAGAGCCGTCATAATGGGAACCATGCGCTGCTGATGCACGACGGGCTGGAGGATGCGATTTCGGCGGGGCTCGCGAAGATGACCCTGCTGATGACTCGACATCCTCCTGCTTCCTCGACCTAGCCTGGGTTGAGAATGCATCCTTGCCATCCTTATTGCTCTTGCTCTCCTTCTTCACCCTGTCGGGCATCCGCCTTGTCGAGCAAAGGAACTGGCAACTCCACAGTTTACCCTCGCCCGACAAGGCGACGAGTGGGACGGGAAGGGCCGCCTGCAGAGCCCCTCTGGTGGCAAGCTTAACGGGGTGCCAGGCTCGAGCGAGCATTGCCAGCCGCGGACTAACAGTATCCATTTCTTCCACTTGGGGAATCATAGCCTTGAGCCAAAATTGCTACGGAGGAGGAGGAGGACAAACGCACGCGACCGACACGACGACGTAGGAGGAAAACGAGGTAGTGCAGAAAAACAATGACAAGGATAATGCGTAATGCGGATGACAAAGAGGAGAATAAGGGGCATTCGAAACAGGCGTTGCAAGGGTTCGACTGCGCAAGTGCCGAAGACAAATCGCCCCCCTGGGATGAGTACGTGGATGCCTGTTTTCGACCAGCACGAGCCTCCGCTTTCCCCTGGGGCGTCGGTGGTCTCGCAATGGGAGCCGCGCCTCCTCCTCGGCTCGCCCGTGGCTTTGCCGGCGGCCCCCGGCCGGCAGCAGGCCGCGGCCCTGATCTGTGCACGGCAAGCGCTGCCACCGCGGCGCGGCGAGCCGGCACCGGGTTCCCCAGCGGCGCACCGACGTCCTGACCATCGCCAGACCCTCGTGCGCATGCGCCGACCCGTTGCCTCCTCCCCCCCGCTTAGCGGGAGGCAGCCGGCGCCTGAACCGCCCAGCAGAAGGCTTCGCCGCCGCAAGAGCGACGAAAAGAAACGGGTCTTAGGCATAGCGACCTTACACGGTGGCTTACGCGGGCCGCCAGCGCGGTACGTCACATTGGCAACGAAGGTGCTTACGCGCGACCCGACGTGGGCCGATTACGCGCCATTGTCGGTGAAGATGGCCACGTTTCTATGCGTCGCTCACAGGAAGTCTGGACAGCCCACCTGGCCAGGGCCGGGATGTTCACGCAGGCGACGGCGCGCCTGGGCCAGCGGCCAGGGCCTCGATGAGCTCGGCGCCAGCTGGACCGGCGAGCAGCGATCGAGAGAGCTCTCCGAGCAGCTCGTCCAGGAGCCCGTCTGCCACGGCGCCGCGCAGTGCCGACGGCGACTGGGCGCACGCCTCGTCGCCGCGCGCCTCCGCGCCACGCCCGGCTGGACCCTCGGACCTTCCATGGGCAGATGCCGCCCTGCGTCTCGAGCGCGCCTCGATGGCGACCTCGCTCACCATCCCCTGGAGCAACTGCTCGGACACCTCGTCGGCCAGGCGCGAGAGGGCGGGGCTGTGTGTATCGACTTGGCCCTGGGCGCTCGCCACCGCGGGCGACCCGACCGCTCCAAATGCGCTCTCGGCCTCCTCGGGGTCAGCAGCGCCCTCGGCGCCCTCAGCGTTAACGGCGCCGCCGCCTGCAGCGGATACGACGCCCTCTGTGTCGATGATCGCGGCGCGTTCAACAGCGTCAGTGCCCACGCCGCGCTCAGCGCCCTCAGCAAAATCGGTGCCCTCGTCGACCCCGATATCCTCCTCAACGACCTCGACGCCCTCGGTACACATGGCATCCTCATCGCCCTCGACATCAATGGCAACCTCTGTGCCGTCGGCTGCTGCCCCACTGGAAGCAAGTAGGGTATCCGGGGCGCCCTCTGCATAGGCATCCACGGCGCCCTTGGTGCTAACAGCATCACTGGCGCCAACGGTGCTGTCAGCTCTCTCGGCGCTCACGAGACCCTCGGCGCCCACGACAGCCTCGGCGCGGCCTTCCCCCTCCTCAGAATCCCCCGCGCAGCTTCCATGGCCATCCTCGAGCCCGTTTTCTCCTCATTCGCGACAACGCCTGTGACCGTCCCCCACCCCCCCCCTCTGGTCACCTCACGATTCGCGCCAGCGCCGTGTGAGAATTGTAAGCGGTTCTAAACATTCCCAGACGGCGCTGGCGCGAATCGCGACGTGACCGGCCCCCTCCCCCCCCCCTCCTCCCCCCTCAGGTCACCCCCGTTATCGCCACGGGATTAAAAACGGTCTCCTCGCGCTGGACATGTACGCCTTCCGCTTCCTCAGCAGCTGCCGCGGCCACAGCGGCCGACGGACCTTCCACGAGGCGGGGATATATACATAACATATCCACCGCCTGGGGAACCGACGTCCTGGGACCCCAGCGGGCGGTGGATATGAATGTACTCTGGCCCCACGGGACCCGAATATATGCAAATCCACTCATGCCGAAGTCCGCGAAGATTGATCACCCAGGCGGTGGTTATGGATAAATCCCCGCCTCGGTCCTTCCACGCCCCCATCGGGCGCAGCAGCTTCCTCGGCCAGGGCGCCCTCTGCGACAGGCGCGTCCTCCGCGCCCCTCGCGGCAGGCACCTCCCCCGCGGCTGCCACACCCCCCACCAGGGCGTCCATTGCAACTGTTGCAGCCGCGGTGCCGGCATCACTGGCTGCAACCTCTGCGCACGCCGCCGCCTCCTTGGCCGTGGAGCTGTCTGGCAGCCCCTCAGAAGTTGGGCCATCCGCAGCGCAACCTGCGACCAGAACCTCTTCCGCGGCCAGCGCGCCTTCCTCCTCCTGCTCCTCCTCGTCCTCCTCGGCGCCCTCTGCCTCCTTTCTGGACGCCCCATTTTTGGGTTCGGAGATAAAAAACAGGGGCAGGATGCCCCGCAACAAATTCAGTCAAACACCGACAGCGGCAGGGCAGCCAGCCGCCTGTCTCGAATGGGCATCATCTGCGGCGACACCGACAGCGAGCCCTGTTCAAAATGGAAACAGCAACTGTTGTCGGTCTTCGCGCCCCTTCTTTCCGTACCCCCTTTCGACTGTACCGATCCTTGGCGGCTGCGCCGTCTGTGGCCGGCGTGCTCTTCACATCCGCGGCGCCCTCCTGCAGTGCCGCGCCCGAGCCTGCGGGCTCTCCGGCGGAGACTGCGGCTGGCGCAGCGCGCTGCCTCCCGGCCTCCTCCCCGCGGCCCCTGACGTCTGGCGCGAGACTCTCCTGAGCGACGAGACGAGGCGGTCTCACGCACGTTGACATAGCGACCTGGCGCGGTAGCTTACGCGGGCCGCCGGCGCGGCACGCCACACTGGCAACGCGGGTGCTGACGCGCAACCTCACGCGGGCAGCTAACGCGCGAATGTCCGCACAATCGACCCTGGTTTTCTGCGTCGCTCTCCTTGCTTCCGAGGGAGGTAGCAGTGGCCCCACGCTGGCTCGATTGAGACGTCTCTTCGGCTGCCTCGCCCTCGGCCTTTGGAGGCCTCCCAAATAGGGCCCGAGTAGATGGTGTCGGAGGATCGCACCGCATCGCTGATGCATCGACGACGTCGGCGGTACATCTGCGCCGTCGGCGTGGAGAAACTCGGCCTCCACATCGAGCCACATCGTCGATGCATGGGCGATGCGGCGCGATCCTCCATCCTCAACTGCTCGGAGCCCATTTGGGAGGCCTGGATCCTTGCTTTCGAGGGAGGTAGCCTTGGCCCCGCGCTCGCTCGATCGAGACATCTCTTCGGCCTCCTCGCTCTCAGCCTTCGACCACACGCGGCTCGAGCGGCAGAGGTCGTCGAACTCCTCCAGTGGTAAGGCTTCGGCTTGCGCGCAGACGGCACCCCCAGGTACGTAGTCCCCGCTGGCCTCAACAGGCCCCCCGAATAGTCCCAGCTGGCCTCCACAGGCCTGCCGAAAATCTGGCGCGGTCTCAACATCCCAGTGCCGCGGAGCGCCCCAGGGGCGCCGCTAGAGGCGGCGCCAAGGTGTTGAGACCGCCCCCGACTAATCTGGGGGCCTGTGAAAGCCAGCTGGGACTAATTACTCGGGGGGCCTGTCGAGGCCAACCAGGACTAACTTACCTGGCGGGGCTGTCTGCGGGCAACCCGAAGCCTTACCGGCCAGGGTCGTCATTCAAAACGGGTCCCTGGACCCCTCCTTGTGTCTAAACGCACCTTTTTTATCGAGCTGCGTTGAGGTGCGGAATGCCAAAACGCCTCTAACCTCGAGTCTCGAGGTTCAAAGCTCGAACTCCTCCATGGCGCCTCTGGAGACCTGCCGCTCCATCCGGATTGCCTCGGCCAGCGCCCGCGACGGCCTTCCCCGGGACGAGCCGCTTACGCTCGAGCCCATCGACGCGTCCGCGGCGTCGGACGGGCGGCGCTGGCTGCCGGCGGCGGCATGGGCCGACGGTCTTTCGCCCGCGGGCACGGGGCCGCCCAGACCGATGTCCGCGGCGTGTCGCGGGCCCGCCGCCTGTCGGAGGAGGAGGAGGAGGAGGAGGAGGGCGAGAGTACAAATACCGCCGCCCTTCCCTAGCATTCGCCCTCTTGGGCCTCCTGGGAGGCCCGCGTCGCCACGGCCGGATTCGCCTCGGACTCCTGGTCAGAACGCACGCCAGTGGAACTCCAATCGTGGACTGGCCATGGACATCACCGCCGTCCTCATCGGAGAAGGAAGACGCCAGGGCCAGAAGCCTCCAGGGCACGTTCCTCTGAACCAGCGCCCCCACCGCATCGGTACCGTTTTGCTGCCCCAGCCTGCGTGGAGGGCACGGCCCCGCGGGGAGAGGGCCCCGCCGCGCCACCACTCCCGCCGCGCGCGCTGCCGCCCGGAGGCGGCTCGCCCTGGCCGCTGGGCTCGGAGGCCCGCAGGGCCTCGATCTCGAGGGCCAGGCGCGCCTGCTCGGCGAGCAGCTCCCGGCGCTCGTGGCCCCGGCGCAGCCGGGCCGCCAGCCTGCGCTGCCCGGCCACCTCGGCGCGCAGGCGCACGATGCCCGAGCTGGAGGCGCTCTCGCTCTCCTCCTCCTCAGGGGCAGCGGCAGGGGGGGCAGGCTTCGGGGGTGGGGGGGTGGGGGCGACAACGACCTGCAATCGGCGATGCATCGCCGATAGATCGGCGGCAAGCCCTCGATGGCAAATCCGGACCTTCCTGGGCGGAGTGGGCTGTCGGGCCCCTGTCCCCCTCTGGGCCTATCCCACCTAGCGTTGCCCCTGATCCTCCAGGCCGCCAGCGGCTGAGTGCGAGCCGGGCTTGGCACGGCCCGCAGAGGCGGGCACCTCGCCCTCGGGCTCCTCCTCGGAAAGGCTGCCTTGCGGCGAGGCGAACGACTCGTCGGAATAGCCGCCGGTGTCTTCCGCGGCGTCTGCAGCGGCCTCACCGCTGGCCGACCGCACTCCCGGATCGACGGCGCTACTAGATGTCGAGCTCTCCTCGTCCACCCCCTCCTCGACTATGGACGTGATGAGCTGGGCAGACCCTCTGGATCGCCCCACGGAGAGGGACTCCGCGTCTTCGTCGGCAGACGTAGCCGCAAACTGCTGCGAGTACGACGCGCCCGCATCTCCAGCAGCAGACGCCTCAGCCAGGTCACCTGCTGATGAATCGCCGCCACTGTCTGGTGCCGAGCCCTCTTCCTCCTCGGCTATGGATGCTATGAGGCCAACGGAGCCTCGTGATCGTCCTAGCAAGGCAGACTCCGCCTCGTCGTTGGCGGTCGCATCTGTGAACTGCTCCGAATACGACTCGTCGACCTCACCAGCGCCGGCGCTCTCGGAGGGCACCTCGGAGGCAGAACCGACCGTGGCATCCGCGAACTGCTGCGAGTATGACTCCTCCACCGCCGCGTGGCTCGGGGAGCCACTGCGAGCCGTGCTCGAGCGAAGTTCCGAGAGGCTGCCGCCCACGGCGGCAGGCTCGACCTTCACGAGCGGCGAACATATCATCTGTGTCCGCGCCCTTGCGGTCTGGATTCCGGAACGCCGTTCCGGGGAATGCGCTGTCGCACGGATACGTTCCGCGCGGGGCATCCGCGAGACGACGCTCCGTGTCCGCGGGGTCGCGGCCCAAGGGCCTGGCCCGCGAGGCCGCGGATACGGATGTGTGTTCTTCGCCCACGAGACCTCATCAGCAACCGAGCTGTCGCTGGCGCGCGACCGCGCCGGTGCGCCCGCCCCCTCCAGCGAGGAGAGCTCCCCGGAGGAGTCCTGCGGCACGTCCACCGACGCCGTCCCTGAGCTCGCCACGGAGGGCACGGCGGAGGCTGGCGCAGAAGGCGCCTCGTCGGCAGAGACCTGCGGCACCTCCCCGGGCGCCGCCCCTGCGCTCGCGGAGGATGGCGCAGAGAGCGCCTCGTCGGCGGAGACCTCTGGGGCCTCCTCCGCGGTCGGGCCGCTCGCCACAGACTCGTCGGACTCGGACACGCCTGCGGCCGGGATGGGGATGGCGTCGACGTCCACGGCTTCTGGCACGTCGCCGTCGGAGATGGACCCGGGCAAGTCCCGCGAGCTCCGCGAGGAGCTGACGCCTGAAGGCTCCTCGACGTCGTCCTCGACCGAGCCACTGATGGTGCCTGACCTGCTCGCCGCCAACTCGTCGGCTATTTCGGAGGAGTCATCCACGGTGGACGCCTCCCGTCTGGCTGGCACGCTCTCGGCGGAGGAGGCGCTGGAGGCCTCCCGAGCCTCCTCCTCCTCTTCCTCCTGCTCCTCCTCCACGGACCCTGGCGGCGCCGATGCACTGCTGGCCCCACGGGTGCCTGAGGCGTCCCCGATCTCGTCCTCGATTGAGGCGCTGGGCGCTCCTGACGTCTCCAGCGCCACCGACTCTGGCGGCGCGGAGGCACTGCGGGCCCCACGGGTGCCAGAGGCGTCCCCCGCCTCGTCCTCGATTGAGGCGCTGGGCGCTCCTGGAGGCCTCCCAAGCGGGGTCCGAGTAGATGGAGTCGGAGGAACGCGCCGCATCGCCGATGCATCGGCGATATTGGCGACGGCGGCGATTCATCGCCGCCGTCGGCGAGGTGAAAATCGGGCTCCGCATCGAGCCGCATCGGCGATGCGGCGCGAACCTCCGACCGCAACTACTCGGACCCCATCTGGGAGGCCTGGAGCTCCTGATGCCCTTAGCGTCCTTTGCGACGAGAGGCCCGATGCGCCCTCCGAGATCTCGCTGGCTGAGGAGCTGCCTGGGAGGCTCCCTCGGCCCCGCTCCGAGATGACGTCGATCTCGTCTGCCACTGAGCCAGAACTCGCACCCGAGCTGACGCTGCTCGGCCCACTGCCGGGCCTGCTGCGGCTGCCTTCCCTGCCAGCGTCGTCCTCGCTGCTGCTGCTTTCGTCCTCAAAATCCTCCTCGAAGTCCTCCTCGAAGTCGTCCCCGTAGTCGCTCTCGGACTGGGTGCCCCCTGCGGCCGTCGCAGGCACCGCACTGCGGCGGCCCGCGAGATCACTAGAACCGCCACGCGCTCCTGCGCCGCACACGTCGATCGCGTCGCCGATGGCCGAGCCAGCCTCCACGACCACGGGCGCCGCGGGGCGCCGCCGTCCCTCTGGTGACGCGGCACGCTGCTCGCGCTCCAGCCTCAGGCGATCGAGCTCGCGGCGGATCTCCTCCAGCTCACCTTCGGGGAACACAGAGCTGCATAAGCGTAAACGTTCGGAGGTCCGTGCGGATTTCTTGGATCGGCGCTGCATGCCCCTCCCTGGCGCGCGGAGAGCGCCAGGGGCGGCGCCAGGGGCGCCGCCGTGGGGCCCCAGCGCCGATCCAAGCAATCCGCGCAGACCTCCGAAAGTTTGCGTGTTATACAACTTTTCCTCGACGCCTGCCGACGCCGCTTGCCGCTCGCTGGCCTCTCGCTCCAGGCGCTCCAGCAGCTCGCCCACGAGCTGGGCCTGCTCCGAGGCCAGCCGCTCGCCAGCTGCGGTGGCCTGGGCGGCGATTTCTGCGGCGGCCTCGCGCCGCTCGCGCTCCAGCTGCTCCTCCGCCGCCTCGAAGCGCTCGGCCTGCCGCAGCGCGCGCACCTAGAGGAACAACAAACGGAATAAACCTACAGAACTATCGGATTTCCGCGCGGATTTGTTGGATCGGCGCTGGGCCCCCTCCCTGGCGCGCGGAGCGGCGCCTGAGGCGCCACCAGGGGGTCCAGCGCCGATCCAAGACATCCGCGCGTAGCTCCGGAAGTCTATGATATTGCAGCTTTTCCTTCCTCGAGCACCTGCAGGCGCTCCTCTGCCACCCGCTGGAGCTCGGCCCGGCGCAGATCCTGGCGCCCGCGCTCCGCGTCCTGGCGCCGCCGCTCCTCCTCCAGGCCCTGCAGCAGCGCCGAGAGCCTCTCGCGCTCGGCCAGCTCCTGTGCAGCCGCCTCGGCTGTCAGCAGCTTCCGCTCGCGCTCGGCGTGGCGGCGTTCCGCCTCCAGAGCGTCACGCTGTCCGCGCAGCCGTTCGCGTCGGAGGAGTTCGTCACTCTCGCGGCGCTGCTCAGCGGCCCGGTGCGCGGCGTCAACCTGCTCCTGCGCGGCTGCGATGCCGATCTCGAGCTCGCGCATGCACTCCGAGTGCTCGGCCTCAAGCTGCCGGATGGCCTGTAGGAAATATGCCTCCTGAGCGGCCTGCTGCTGCAATGCCGCCTCCTGCTCGCAGTGGGCAGCGGCGGTGAGTGCTTCGCGCCGTCCCGCGGCCTTCGTACGCTGCGCCTTCAAGCCGTCCACCAGGTCCAAGTGTGCCTCGACGCTGTCGAGAACCGCGAGTGACTCGAGAAATCTCTCCTCGAGCTGCTCCGGGGTGTACTCCAGATCGCCCGAGAGGTCGCCCCGATCAACGGGCGGACTGGTTTCAGCTGCGACCGCGGGCACGTGGAGATCCGAGAGGCAGAAAGGCGCATCCTCCTCCCTGTCCTCCTCCTCCAGGGCTCGTGGCCACTGGCCAGCAGCGGCCGAGGGCATCAGGGTGAGCTCGGCGCCGTGGGACGCCTCCTCCTCCTCTTCCGCCGTCCCCTGCGTGCGGCCCTCCTCCTCGTCGCCGCCGTCATCCTGGAAGGACAAAGCGCGACGTAAACATCCACTTCCGGAGGTCCGCGAGGACTTCTTGGGTCGGCGCTGGGCCCCCCTTCCCAGGCGCGCGGCGCGCACCAGCAGGGGGGGGCCCAGGGCCGACCCAAGAGGTGTGCGCGGACCCGCGAAAGCCCGTGCTTATTGCAGCCTGCTGCTGTGACATCCTCGTCCTGCGCCCCCTGCACGCGGCCCTCCTCTGCGCCGCCGTCGTCTTCCTCAGCGGGGGTGGACAGAACCTCCTCTGGCAGAGCGCCATTTGCTGAAAGCTGCCTGGGGCCTGGCGCACTCCACGGGCGCACGGCACCGCATTCCGAGTGCACCCCAGCGGAGTAGTTAGTCGACGTCCAAAAACAACGGGATGTATCCAGCAAGACGCACGCCGATTATCGAAACCGACTGGGGACTGCACTGGCACCCTCGAATTTCAATGTCGGGTGAACCAATGTGGATTTCATCGGTGGACTTGCCCTGGCGGGCCCGATCCTCCGCTCCCTCCTTCTCCTCTCCAGCTGCGGGGGCCCCGCCAGCCTCTGCGGAGGGCCCGGAGAGCCCCTCGTGGACGCTCACCTCCCGTGCCTCCGCAACGACGTCCTCCCGCCGGCAGCCCTCGGCCTGTGGGGCGGCCGAGGCCGACGTGGGGGCAGCCCGCCGCTTCATCAGGACGGCCTCGACGAGGAGCAGGTCAAAAGTCCCCCGCCAGGAGGCCTCGTGGGACGCAGAAGGACATACTGGTGCTATTTGTCCTCCTTGGAGGCGTGCGCCCGACCAGATCACATAGTACTGAGCACAACCGCCTCGTGGTATGCCGCTGCCCCAGCGGTATGGCCAAAGACCGCCCGCCACCGAGCATGTACGGGACGATTTCTGAGCGTGCGCGTCGCCCCTGTGGGGGCGACGCGCACATAGCACACGGCAGGAGTGCGTGTTTGGGGGGGAGGCCGACCTCGCCCGAGGGCCCATCCTGGGCGAGGCCCTGCGGGCGCACGGCCCTGGCCAGCGGGATGTCGTAGGGGCTGGGCTCGCTGACCCGTGCGGCTGGAGGGGGCGGCCGCAGTGCCGGGGGCCGGCGCCTCGCCGCACCCGCAGCGCCCCAGGCGTCCTGCGCCACGGGCAGCAGGCGGGCGGGCAGCTCCCTAGCAGGTCGTGTCCTGCCGCCCTCGCCCGCGCGGTCGCCGCGCGCCACCACCTCTGCAAGGGACCGACGATTGCAGACGAATCCCAGACATGCTCGTGCCGTTGCAAAATCACGGCGGGAAGTTCTTGGACGTTTTCGGCCTCCGGGAGCCCTGGCTGGGCTCTGGGACCAACAGAACGACTTGCGATAAAAATCGGCCCCTAGGAGAGGGTCGGGACTTCTGGGGACCGCGAAGTGGCAAAATCAAAACGTCACATGTCTGGGATCCTTTGCGGCGCCGTCTTAGCGATTGGCCACCGTGCTTGGAGGCACGAGGTGGAATATCCTCAAGTCCCTCAGCGTTCTACGTGTTGAATACTGCACATGTTCTTCAAGGGGCCCGAAGCCTGGAGTTCCAGGGACTCCTCGGCGCTCCCGCGCGATCTTGGGGGTTCCACGCGAAACTTTTCCAAAGGCAAGAGGGCCCCCCGACGGGTCAAGAGGGCCCCAAGAGGCCCTGAACACGGTCCAAGAGAGCCCCAAGTCGCCTGAATATCGCTTGAAGGTGCTGAAGACTCTCTAGACAGCCCAGGCAGGCCCGAAGACGCCCCAAGACAGCTCCACGAGGCCCTCCAAGAAACCCCGAGATGTCCAAATCACGGATTTCTTTTGATTCGGTGTTTGAATGATTGTGGCGTTCTAGCCTTGTCTGACTTTCGACGCTCCTAGAAGGTCCCCACGATCGTCGTAAGATGGCCCAAGAGTCCCCCAAGAGGGTCCCAAGAGCGGCCCAAGAGAGGCCCCCGAGGGGGCAAACGAACCGACGCCAGCAGGCCCTCGAGGGGCACCTCAGAAGCTCCAGGAGGCTCCCATGAGATCCAAATCAGGCCCCAAGAGTGCGCCAAAAGAGTCCCCGAGAGGCCCCCCAAACCGCCTCCAAAAGGCTTCCGGCAGGCGCCTCAGGAGATCCTCACGATCATTCCAAAGGCCTCTGACCAACAACGTATGCACGCAGTGCGGGATGGGCCAAGAGCCACTAGATCCGATGCCCCCTGTTGCTTGTGAGAGGGGTTCTTGGCGTGCCGAGTTCTTGACTGTTTGAGCCCTTCCAAGAGGTTTCTAGTTGGGGTGAAGCCCCGGGTTGCGCACCGACAGCCGTCCACGGTAGTCTCGGCTGGCCCTGACAGGCCCCGCAATGGTCCCGCTGGGACTACCCTAGGGACCTGTCTATGCGCAGCCCGAAGCCTTAATTACCACTCCCGGTCTCGGCCGATCCCGCCGACTACCCGGAGGGCACACCGCAGAAACCCAAATGACCCTCTCCCGCCTCCGAGGCGCCCACGATGGTCCCCAAGATGGCCTCCAAGACGGCAGGAACAGTTAGCATCGAATCGGGAAATCGGATCGGATCGGAGCGTCTATCGAATCGGAACGCATCGGCTCGGAGCCGGAATCGAATCGAATCGGCGGCACCAGGATGCATAACAGCGCCATGCAAGCATCGGGCTCCATCGGATCGCCTGAAAACTACAATCGCATCGAATCGGGCAGGCCAGAGCCGATATCGAATCGGATCGATCGAATCGAAGGGGATCCTCGACAGTGTAAGATGGCCTTCAAGACTGTCCAAGACGCCTCCAGACAGCCAAGATGGCTTCCAAGTCGGCCCAGGATGATTCCAAGACGGCCCAAGGCCCAAGAGGCCCCCAAGACGACCCAAGAGGACTCCAAGATGACCTCCAGGATGCCAAAAACATTGATGTGCATTCTGTGTTCCAGTAGTTTTCGCCAACTCGCCATGTAGGGCTTCCGACATCCGAAGTTGGGACCAGAAACCTTCAACATAGTGCCAATGCGGCCCCACAGGCTCTCAACAGGGCCCCAAGATAGGCCAAGAGGGCCCGAAGACGGCCCAAGAGGCACTCACAAACCTCCCAAACTGCCCCGAAGCGCCAAATGAGCCCTCATCACGGCCTAGATGGGGCCCTCAAGACTGCCCCCCGGAAGGCCAAGAGGCACTGTAGAGGCCCCTCAGAAGCCCCCCAAAGGCACCCAAGAAGCACTAAGATGCCCTCCGAAGCCCCAAAGATGCCACCAATAGGCCCCCAATCGGCATCCGTTTCCTTTTTCGTCGTCTTGACAATTTCGGCGAAATTTTAACACGCGCGGACTCCCTGTCTTAAGAGCATCCGAGACGGCCCAAGAGAGGGCCCAAAGCCCCTTGCCCCAAGAAGGCCGCAAGAGGGGCCACCTGGACAGACATTCCGAGTCCTCTCCCCAAACATGCCCCCACAGACCGCCAGCGGGCCCCAAGAGGCCCGCAGAGACTCCCAAGAAGCGCCCAAGAGGCCTCAGGAGACGTCTTAAGGGTACCCAAGATGCCCCCAAAGAGGCCTGAGGCCTCTTGTCCACGTCCCAGGCACGGCGGAGAGATGTGCCGTCTTAGCAACCGTCTTGGACGCCTGTTGGGCAATCTTCGGTTCCTCTTGGCCGGCATGGGGGTCTCCTGGGGCTGCCTGGGGGCGGTCTGGGGACCGTCTTGGGGCGATTATGGGAGCCCCTTGGGCCATCCTGGAAGTTCTGACTACCGAGAATGCGAGTGTGCCAGAATCGTACAACCACCTACAAGCAATCATTGATGTTTGTCTCTTTGGGCCTTTCTTCGGGCAGTCTTCGGAGCCGAATGGGCTGTCTTCTGGCCAGGTTTGGCCGCATTGGGATCGCTGTGGGGGTCTCGTTCGGACCTCTTGGGGCATTCTTGAGCTCGCTTGGGCCGTCGTGGGGCGCCGCAGAAACGGCAGGCTGGTCGGGTCTCACGTTGCGCCTGATCTGTTGTTCTACGCACGAGGGTACTGACTTCATGGGTGCAGTCACGTCTGTGTGCACATGAAAAGAATACGAAGGGCATGACTTCAAACTGCGCTCTTCTCTGAACTTCATCGATGCTGCACAAATGAGCTTGCCTTGATGTTCGGTGTCCAAAGGTGTATCAGCTTGCTTTCACGGTTCCAGTGGTCCTCTGGGTCAGGGGCAGCGCCGTCCCGTGGCCAGCTCCGCCTGTCCACCACCGCCGACGAACCGAGCCAGCGGCGCGCCGCGCGGCCGCGGATGAAGCCCTGAATGCGCAGCACCGCGCCCAGAACGGAGCGGGGCGGAGGCTTGAAGGTTCGCAGCCCGCCGTCTGCACCGAGGCGCCCCCTGCGGTCAAGCGCAACTGGTCTTCAAAGGTGGCGAACGTACGCTCCGCTTGTTAGAATCAGGATCGGTCAATCGAAGTTTCGGCAAAACCAAATCGGAAATTTCGATAAACGACTTTTTCAAATCTGGGAACCCAACTCGCCCGACTCGGTGAACTTCGACTCGGTAAAACTAGGTCTCGGCTAAACTCGGTCGGTCTACGATTCCCGAACAGTGACTGCACTTAGGGGTTCATACTTCTGGAGTAAAGGGACAGTCGGTCGCCGCTCTTGTTGCCGCCGTCGCCGCCCGTCGCCGCCGGTCGTCTGGGCCTGTCTGTCGGTCGCCGAGCCTGTTGCCGCCGTCGCCGCCCCGTCGCCGCCCCGTAAGCTTCTCCACGCAGTTTTCTGTTTTTGTTTAATCGATTCTGCACCCAGGGACCCCTTTACATATAGCAACTTACACTATAAAACACATTAGTTTTCAAGAATCCCTGGCAAAAGAAGGGACGAAGTGCACACGCGCGCGTCGCCGCGCGCGCATGCCGAAAGCCTAATTCGACTGTCCCGGATGCATACAAAAACATATGGTTTCCCAACACAAATTTTGAAACAAAGTTTGCGATCGGGCTCTAATGGGTTCTACAAAAAACAATGGATTTTTCAACATTTTCATAACATGCTACCAACCAGGCCTCTCGCGCGCGCAAGTCGGAATTGCAAGAACGCCCTTGCGCGCACGCTGTCGCAAGAATTCCTCGAGCAAAAAAGAAAGCGGGACAAAGTGCACACGCGAGCGTCGTCGCGCGCGCATGCCGGGGTCCTTCAACAGTCTTGGGTTTCGTATGGGTTTCAAAATCTAATGTCCCGAACACATATGCAACCACGGTTCGTTGCAACATCAGTTTCCCTCCCCCCAACAAAACGGTCTTGCGAATTCATACGAATGCCATTGGTTTCCAAAATGTCCGTTCAATCTACCAAGCGGGTCTCTCGCGCCGCATGTCGAAAACATTCGAACGCCCTTGCGCGCGTGCTGGGGGGGGGGGCACAATCCGTGTGAAGTACTACCATGCGGGCCACTTGCGCGCGTCGGCCGCGCGCGCATGTCGAACTCTTGCCAAAACCTGCATGGCCGACGCAAGGACGCCGTCATCGTCGTCGGCGAAATCAGCATCGGCCGGCGCCGTCACTGGCCGCGCCGTCGTCACTGTCGTCGTCGTCACCAACATCTCTATGATCCTCATCGCGTCTACAATTGTCGAGGTTGTCATGATACTGCGCCCGCCCAAGTCGCCGACTCGCAAAGTACCCGTTTGGAGGAGCCCAGCGGTCAGCGCCACCGCGGCCACCGCGGCCGCGTCGGTCGCGCCAAACTAGCTGGCCGCTTTGCGCGCGAGCATGCGCGCTAGCGCGGCCGAGGCGATGCGCTAGCCAGCGCCGAGCACTCATCGCAATCGTCGCCGCTTGGTTTTGCAAACCACGTTGCGGGTGGGCGTATGGGATGATTGCGCGAGCATTGGAATTGTCAGCTTCAAATTCGGCAGGGTGAGTTGCACAACGTAGGTTCTCCTTTGAAAACTTAGAATATCCATCCCCCCTCCCCTGGACTTGGCGGCCCGTCTTTTTGTATCGCATATTACATGCGCTTCTGCCCCATCGCCCATCCGAGATGTGACTTCGCACCGTCCCAGGCAGTCAAAACTCATGCGTTCTGAATAATCGCTGGCGGGGAAAAAACGAATGCAAACGCGCGCGTCGTCGCGCGCGTATGCCGGAATCCTTTACACGCCGCAGGTTTCTTAAACCATTCAAAATCGAGCGTCCCGAAAACATATCAAGCACGCATCCTTTCTTACACGGGGATCTCAACCAACAAAGAACATGCGCTCGCGCTCTTGCGGCGTTTGGGGAAAAACGTGGGTTTTCCAACATGTTCACCACATGCTACCAAACATGCCTCTCCAGCGCGTATGTTGAATTCGTTCAAATGCCGTTTGCGCGCGTGTTGTCGCAAGAATCACTAGCAACAGATGGGACGGAATGCGGGCGCGCGTCGCTGCGCGCGCATGCCGAAATTCGACAACACCGAACGCCCCGAACCCATTAAACAAAGACATGGTTTTGCAACGTCCGTTTGCGAAAAAACCTGCGCGTGCGCTCTTGCGACCTCTCTGTTTTAACAATTCAACCTTGCCATCGCATTCGACCGAATGGGCCTCTCGCGCCTGTTGTGAACACATGAACACATTCGAACGCCATTGTGCGCGTGAGGGGGGGGGGGGGGGGGGGGGGGGGCACGGCCCCTGTCAAATAACACCATGCGGGCCACTTGCGCGCGTCGGCCGCGCGCGCATGTCGAACTCCTTCCACGGCCCTCATCACCGACGCGAGGACGCCGTCATCGTCGTCGGTGTGATCAGCATCAGCGCCGTCTTTTGGTTTGCCATCGTCATCGGAATCGTCGCCAACAACATCGCTACTATCAGCATCGTGTCTACCAGTGTCGACGTCGCCGTGATGCCACGACCGCCCAAGTCACCGACTCGCACTAAAGTGCCCGCGCGCAAGCGCGGCCTGCGAGACGCGCTGGGGAATGCCCAGCGGTCAGCGCCACAGCGGCCGCGTCGGTCGTTCCAGACGAGTTGGCCGCTGTGCGCACGAGCCTGCGCGCGCTAGTGCGGCCGCAGAAACGCAACAGCCAGCGCGAAATAATCGTCGCAGCCGCCGCCGCTTGGTTTTGCAAGCAAAGTTGCGGGTGGGTGTGTGGGATGATTGCGCGAGCAACGGAGTTGCCAATTCAAATTATGTAGACTGTACCACGTGGACTGCGCCACGTAGGTTGCTCCAAATCCCACCAGCCCTTTGGGCGTGAGAGGTGTAAGGGGTTTCCTCGCCCATCGTCCCTCTTCCTGTTCGCAGCCAACCAGGACCAATGAGGGCCCCCCCAACCATCCCTGTGAGAAGACAGTGTGATGTCCACTTTTGGCACTTCGAAACAAAATCTGGATCACGCGCGGGCGCCCCGCGATCACTGTGCATTGGTTTCTGACTGGGACGGCGGGGGCGCTGGCGCTGGCATATTGCCTGCTATGTGCAGGCCCACCAGACGTTATGATAGCCACCCCGCCGCGATTGCGCACTAGTTTTCGACAGCGGTGGTGGGGGCCGACGCGTTTCCCGATGTGCACTGCCACGTGCGCAGGCGAATGCGGCGCGCATGGCGCACGTGGATCACGTTTTACGCTGGAGCAATGGGGGGAACACAAAAGGGGGGACGGCAGTAGGTGCAATAGTTCGTTTGCCTGAGCTATTGCGCGCGAACTATTGCGAGGGGTCACGAACTATCGCAAACCGCCTGAACTATTGCGCGCGAAACAAAACGAAACAACACCCGCGCGGAACTATTGCATCCACGCCGCAAACTATTGCATCCAAGCGCCAACTATTGCATGAACCATTGCGCCTGCCCCGGTCCCCCCATTTGTGTTCCCCCCATTACTCCGGTTATCTGGCGCATAAGGCGTGCCCGGCTCGATTCGTTGGGAGCGCGGGTGGGAGAAAGCGAGACGGCTTGCGGGCGGGGAGAGTGTCTTGATCACTGTTTCCTATTTGTCTACACCCCTTCCCCCAGGCGACCTGCAGCCGACCAGGAACCATGAGGACCCCATGCTCACACCCCACCCACCATCCCTGCCAACAAAACAATGCAAAACGCAGTCTGCCTCCACATTTGGAGCATGCGCGGCCAACCCGACGCGCCCCGCCCCCACCATCCCTGTCAAAGCAATACAAAAGTACACTCCGGGGCAAAGTCGCAAAGTATTGAGTCATCTTCGTGAGGCCCACACCTGGCGCAGGCGTAGTACGCGGTGCATCTGGCCCACCAGGCGTGCCTGGCACGCTCGGGCCCCAGGGGTGCCTGGCGCGCGTGGCGCGCCTGGCACGCGTGGCGCACCTCGCCCCAGCGCCGCGAACATGGGGTCGGTTATTGTTCCCAGTAGCTGCCCATCCAAAGACGAACGCTGAACATGCTCAGGCTCGGGTGTTACTTATGTGTTGGGAGGGCGGGTGTGAGTGAGCTAGACGGCTTGCTAACCTTGTGCCGATGATAAAACAGGACCCCCCGCCCCCCCTTCCCAGGTTTGAGTTGATTATCCACGGCCAATAAGAGTTTGGTCAAGGGCGCGGGGCGCGGAGGCAGTGTTTTTTTTTTTTTTTTTTTTTTTTTTTTTTTTTTTTTTTTTTTTTTTTTTTTTTTTTTTTTTTTTTTTTTTTTTTTTTTTTTTTTTTTATATATATATATATAATATATATATATATATATATATTATATATAACGATCACTGTGAAAGCTTCACCATCGAGGCTAACTTCCTTCTTATGTTGGGATAGCAACATCCAACGAAGCGAAGACGTTGTCGATGATGTCTCAAACGAAACCAACAATTTTTGGAGGCAGCCTCAAGCGAAACGAGCTGTTCTTCTTGGATGTCTCAAGTGGAACCAATATTTCTTCGAGGATGTCCCAAGCGAAGCGAGAGACTTGTCGATGAGAGACTTCCTCCTCCTCCTCCTCCTCTCTCGTTTTTTTTTTCTCTGTTGTTTTGTTCTTCTTTTTTTTTGTTCTCTCTCTCTCTCTATTTCTCTCTCTCTCTCTCTCTCTCTCTTTGTCTCTGTATTTCTCTCAGTCTTTCTCCTTTTCCCCCTGGCCCCCAGAACTTGTTTTATCGCTGTGGTTTACTATCCACGAAAACCGAGGTACATGAGGCACCCTACACGAGCAGATGAAACTATTAATTTCCATTGCTTGCTTACACATTAAACTTAATAGGTTTGGAACTTTGGCTTTTCTCCTCCTCCTCCTCCTCCTCCTCTCTCTCTCTCTCTCTCTCCTTCTGTCTGTCTATCTTTCTCTACTCCTCTCTCTCTCTCTCTCTGTCTCTGTCTCTCTCTCTCTCTCTCTCTCTCTCTCTCTCTCTTTCTGTCGAACTATCTGTATATGTCTGTCTCTGTCTCTAT